CTCTCCTCGTTATAGAATTGAGGGAATTTAACAGTTTATCCGATTCAACTTTACTCAACCCTCCATGGCCTATTATCAGTCTAAGCCAGGGTTTCTCTCTTGAGGGTACATAGCATCGACTCATTTGATTCTTTAGTCTCGTTTCACTCTCAGAGCAAACTCAACCACCATAGACCAATTTTCTCTTGACAAATTAACGTCGGGCAAGGGAGGGGCTGAAAATCCTTCAGAGACAGAAAATCGAGTAGATTCAGTGAAGCATTTGTTTTCCCTCTCAAGTCTCTCTTTCTCTTTTGATACCCATTTTCAGCACATCCCCAGCATCTCTCATACACTGCATCATCAACACTTCTTTCTTTTGAGAAATAAATCCTCACATCATACCCGTCCAGGTCTATGAAGTAAAATGTCAGTACATAAAATCGCTCCTACCCCCGTCCCCTCTCAACCATCTCATATCTGACAGCCTCGTATGGGAACACCTCTTTCTTACTTGGTATATTCAAGGAGTTTAGGAGACCCTTAATTCCCTCTTGACTTTGGCCTTAACCTCTGACGAATTTCGACCTTCTTTGCCTGATTTCTTCTGCTGAAGTCTCTATAGTCCTCATGACCACCAATTTATTTCTCCCACTTCAGTACCATGCTAATAATTGGCAACCAGTTAGTCTCGTCACAATAGCTGTCAGGTATAGGATGGATCGAAACAGTCTTATACGTTACTGGCATTACACCCCATTGCACTCTCTTCTTCTGCTTGATTATGTCTGCTTCCTCATCATAAAGAGATTGGATCGCAATTCCCCATAGCCAGTTAAAGGTTTCACCTTCGTCACAGTCTCCGTTCTTGACATAAGGACGGATATCATAGATATCTCCCTCCAAGAAGCGAGCCAGCACGACACTGATGACCGAAGTGCCAGAACGGTAGACCCAACAATGCTCATATTGATAGGAGAATATCCCTTTGGTAGTCACTTTCGAGAGTTCTTTCAATGCATCAGAAGTTAGCATTCTTGATTAAGTCTCCGCGGTCTTGATTTTTTATTTCCCTTCTTAATGTTCCAAAGACATCATATAAACATGAGGCATACCTAAGATCAAGCCTGATTCTCTCCAGTCAATAATATCAGTTTCCTTCTCCAGTCCAGTGTGGTACCTCACACAAGGAAAGATAAAACTCGGTTAGCAACTAAGCTTTCTCAAGAAAGTAATAACCCAAGAAAATATTGCAAAATGAGTCTGAAAAAATTCAGAATTTGTCAACAGTTCTCAAGGCCTAATCAAAGCTCAAAGTTGTTTGCTGACCCAGACTCGTGTCCGGACACGAAACTTTTTCATGTCCCCGGTTACGTTGCCAATTGTACGCAACCTCGTGCGAGTACGGACTCTTACTCTTGTACTCGTACGCTACTCGTACGCTACGGGCCCCGTACGAGGTTTTTTTTTTTTTTTTTTTTTAAATCCGATATTATTTTTATTTTTTTTTCTCAAATTCTAATAAGAATCTGAAGATGATGCTCAGTCAAATATTACTTCTTTTGTGTTGTTGCATCACATACTTGTTTTTGGGATTTCTTTGATTTTTTTTTTTTTTTTGCTTTTTCGTACGGGGGCGTACAAGACGTACAGGTTCCCGTACAGATCCCGTACACAAATAACCTAACCGTTTCATAGGGAAGCCCCCGTACGTGTACTCTATGCAACGTAGGTCCCCGACAACGGTGCCATTTTTGTCGCACTTTTTGCGGTCGGGCCATTTCAGGCGACCGGAATGCCAACAGGCCGTCACGCAGGAGTTTTGATTGAGTTTTGCAATAAATAAAATAATGCAAATCCCTTCCCATTGTGTGCGTCCGATTTCGAGTGATCCCCTTCCATTGCGGTCTTCGCCAGTCCCCGGTCTTAGGAATCTTTTATTTTGATTCGGAATAGCATAGACTGACGTTAATAATAATCATGGGGTTTTTAAGTGTCATGTATTTATCAATTCTGCAATTTCTTATTATTGAGAACTGTGACTGAATCATCAGGGAAGACAATCATCAGCAAGAGCAATGCAATAAAAAAGACTGACTGACTCGAGTAATAACAAGGTCAAATGAGGAAAGAATGAGAACTCGTAATAGTATCAAAAAGTGCATATGTAGGGAACACCGCCAACCCTAGTCAAGTGTCCTCACTCATCCCTCTGAATCTCCTGCTCAGTTTCTCACTTTGCTGTGCGTTTCTTGTGCCTCGTGCTATATCCCCGTACTTTCTGAGGTTGTGGTCTCTGTATATAGAGCCACCTATAGCCAGCAAGTTCAGAACTCTTCCATCCAAGTCCCATGATACGAAAGTCAACCATGGCACAAAATTTCTCCCACATTGTAGGAAGATACGGCTGGGAGAAAATCCCTCGTCTGAGATGTGGGCACTTGGAAAGTTCGGTCACTGCCTCATAATCGATCGTTGCAGGAGAGATGTACCTCTTGGCCAGATCTATCAGATCGCCTCAGCAAGAGCCATCTGTAGGAGTGAAAGGTATCGGAGGTCTGGGATAATCCGAGTAAAGCTTTGGTCCAAAGCTACGGATCAACTTCATTTCATTCTCATCTATTTCTTTCTCTCTCTCTTCAATGTACCGAGTTGCTGCAGTCCATACTAAGGCAAAGTGCTCATGAGTCTCTTTTCCTTTCTTCACATAGGATCTCATGTTATATACGGTATCGCCTTCAAAGCTGATAAGGACAACAAAAATTGACAGATCTCCTTGCTTAAAGCCATTTGGACTGACGTACTGATGTTGAAAGGTATCCGTAGAAACAACTTCGTTGAGATTGGATAGAACAGCCACCGGGACTGAGAATGACTGCAGTGTACTCACGGATTGGAGAAAGGTGTTCAGACTGATTCTCGTGTCCTTGGATAAGCGCACTGTCTAATTGATACTGATTTCTGACACGGGTAAAATAACGAGTGTTTATTGGATATCAATTGAATGTCGGCCAAGTGTTGTTGATTGAGTATTGCTTGAAGTTCGCTGGAGTAATGGGTTACTATACAATGGTCTCTTAATGATAGGAAGCATCTGAGGTTTTGCTGGCTGATATCTAACATCCGAGATGCCAACAAAGCACTGATTGAGCACTGATTATATATTGAGTAATTACCGATTGAACACTGATTGAAGAACCAATTGTACGTGGAAAAATTACTCATTGAACACTTTCCACTTGATAGCGACACGAAATACTGCTCACTCGATAACAAAGTTTGAACTTGAACACTTGTTACTCATAACAACGCTGAGCATTGTTCACTGCTGAGCGCTGCTCACTGATAACAACGCTCGAGCACTGAGAGTTGTGTGTTGTCTACTGATCAGATACACTAGCAAAGTCCTCGAGGAAAGAAATTTGAGCTCTCTCACGCTTTCTTAGACTTCGCTCGGGTATATTCAATCACCTCAATAAACGAGTAGGTGCTGTGCATTTTTTTCTCTGGTCCATAAATGTAAAAGCAATACTCAATGGATTTCTAATCCTTTACGAGCTTCAGTGCTTGCTCCATCATGAATTTGAAGTAAAAATGAGTGTCATGAACGACTCTCTCTTTCCAACCTTCTGCCCTGCCTCTATGCAGCGAATATGTCACTTTCACAATGTCATCATTTCCCATCTCTCTGTAAAGACCCTTCACACTGGAATTAACTGATTTGCACCCATATACCGGGGTGGGTGTTGAAACGGATCCTCGAGTCTTTTAGAGGGAGATGCTAGCTTGTTAATGTGGATCGCAAGTGCTGGTAAGAGAGACTGGGTGCTGATTAACTCGGGATGAAAACTTAGCCAACTGAGAATTGATTGAATGACTGAGTAAATATAGATTGAATGCTAACTAGGTATTGCTTGAATGCTGCTTGAATATGGCTTAAATACTGACTAAATGTTTACCCTCACCTTTAGCCTCGATTGCCGCCATATAATTCCTCTCTCATAAGTCTGCCTCTGCTGCATTACATAAGTTTCTCATGAGATAACCTTTTATTTTCACTCTTGTTGTTTGCCATTGAAGACACCTCGTGCCTGAACAGTGGCCTCAATAAAAGAGAAAGTGCCATGTGGTTTCCTGTCTATTTCTATGGGATACATGATACACTTAGTGCTTTTGCCCCTCCCAAGGCCTTCTCTCATCGCCTTCACTCAGTACAGAGTATCTCTAGGCACACTTTCCTTGTCTGACTCTCAATTTATTCCGATAGCATCCAAGATGCAGAGAGGATATTATCGTCTGTCTCGGCCCTGGAACTCCACAGACTACAAAACAATATCTATTATCGATCCTTAAAGCCTCGGTAAATAAATCTTACTGTTTACTCGAATTATATAGACCCTCTCACGTTTTCATGGTATGACCGCTTCGTATCTGTAACGTTGAGCATGATAGTTTTGTCTGGACGTACGCTCATACTCTGTGGAAACCCCATTCAGAACTCAGCTCCTGCTCAAATTTACGAAGATTTCTGTACGGAACCGTCTGCGGTCCTCAAAAATTGACCCCCCCGATAGCTGAATATCCTGCTCAATGTAGACTAGAAGCACTCGGCTAACTTTGAATACGGAGCATGAAACACTGCTGCTCAGTGGAATCTGGTCTGCAGTGTCACATCAAACTCGAGATGACTCAACTGGCCAACCAATTGGAAGCTGGCTATACTACCCCCGTGTGCAGAGTCGATTATTGGGTCTCAGTTTCCATCGCCTCCAATAAAATAGATATGACGGGTGCCGGTTAGATAAGTGTGTCGACAGCGAACGCCCAATGGCTATACTGCGAAAGTTCTTGGACCAATCCCAAAAACTGCCCGCAGTAATACCAATGTTAGGGACCAAATATCCGCAGAGGAGTATTGTTAGCTCAATAACATTTTCAGACAGAGGGAAAACAGTTCGTTTTCACCCCATACTTCTCGTCGAACACGACCCTCTTAGTGGGTTTATATTAACTAATGACCTTTGCCCGTCATCCTCTCTGGGTGCATCGTAGTGTAGTTCAAATCATCAGGGAGTGATCTCAGCTGAAGATGCAGAACACAGTTTCCGTTACGTTCTGCAAGAGGATCGGAGTACCCCGAGTATCCCTTCGTTCGGACAGGTGAGGCGAAGCATATTCATCAGAGTCAGTATCACTCTGCCGTCCAACAGAGTTTGCTACAACTCTGTGTACCATCAGTTATAATACCATGCCCTCTGCTATAAACAATCCCTTTCCATTGGTTCCCCGAGTTAAATGAGTTTTAATGTAGAGGTTATGGAGGCGGAACTAGAATTTCAACCAGCACAACTTGCAGTGGCCCGGGGTACTTCCCGGGATCTTTCATGAGACCAACCGAATTTGAACGTCGAACGCGTATCCTCTTTCGACTAAGTTTTTTTTTTTATTACTCTCCGTCGAGAAGAAATTTAACCAAGAGATATGCCACCCTTTCCAGTACTGCCTCCCTCTTTCCCATCTAAACAGAATAGGGAGTCATGCATTATCAACTCTCATGCTGGTGTCTTATTTGTTTTGCCTGTTTAAAAGCCTTACCCCTTCTCCTTTTACTGATCAATCATGAGATCATGACGAGCTCAAATTGATAGTTTTTCACTGACTGAATGCCACGTGAGTAGGCAATCACCCAACGGGCAGCCACCTCACCCATCGATTCGGTACCAGTTTTCCCGACCCAAAGCTCACGATTCCCTGAATTTGTGAGGTATCTCAAACTTATCAGGTCACGGGTAATAGGGAAGAAAGGCAAGGGCTAGTCATCCGAGGACACCTTGCTTCCAACAAACTGTAATAACAAGCCCACATTCACGTACCTTACAAGGTCAAAGGCCAGTCTGTACGTGATTAACCATTACTTTACTCAAATCTCAGCTTTGGAGTAACCAATTAAGGACAGGACACTAGAAACATCCAAAGAGGACATGCATGATCCTATCGTTCCTTCCCACTCTCTCCGGACCAATCATGAACGAAAGCAGGAGCTGACAAGACTTTCTCTTATTGCTTTATCCGAAGAGAAAAGGGTACAAATATACCTATTAAAAAGTCGACGCGCGACTGTTCAAGAGAGGAGAACTCGATTCTCTCTCCCACTCACAATTAGTATCACATATCTCGTTGACAGAGATAGCAGGCAACTAGCGAACCGTCAACCAGAAAAGTATAATGACAAAGCGTCGTGTCCTTACAGAGTAATGAGAGACTTAGTGACAACTAGTTCGTATTAGACCATATTTTCTCTCACTATCACGGTTGTGCAAGCAGAAGACGAGGGGAGCAGCGTCAAAGCAAGGAATGATCAGGCAATGCCAGGGATTGTCAAGATGATACCGCCTCTTCTTTCTCTCACGTAACTTCGATCCAAACGCTCGTTGCCAGATAGAGTCATGTTTTACTCGTCTCAAAATTCTGTAGCGATATTGTTGGTCTTAGCCTAGGACCAATCCCCGCGCAATTGATGACATTAACAACAAGAAAAACTCGTGCGCCATCCCTCTTTTCCCCTTCTTTTTCTTTCTTTGCAATGTGTAGTAGCCCTTCGAGTCCTTGCCCCAAATAGCTGACTCTGATCTCACGAAGACATCAACCGATTATTTCCTCATTTCGGCACCGGACACGTTTCTCATGCATACATTCGTCACTCAAGGCACACCAGTACCATCGCCACTAACATTCGTCCCCTATTCTCTCATGACTGTTGCCGCGTTGCTTTCACGGGGTAACACCGAGGGCGTCTGTCACAAAAGCCCGCTCTCACTTAAGTTGTCACATCAGATCACCCACCTTCAGGGAGGGGCGAATCGACTTCTCCCTCGCAGCACCGCCTAAGTCACTGGTATGTGACAACGTTCTCTCTCGTCCAAGCTCAAGTATGAGCAACTGACGTCAACCGAAATACATACATTTCCACGTCCTCTACTTGCAATAGCTTTCTTTTCCACCTTACCATCCGTCACCGCCTTGCAGCCCCGAACGCTTCACTAGTTCTAAGAAAAGATCGGAGCTCAGTCGCCAAAGCTTAACGGAGAAACCGTCATATCAACCCACTAATGCAACACTTGCTTTTGGACGAGAGCTGCCATGTCCAAGTCACCAGGAGTATTCCAGGAGTATCGCGCGCAACCTCTTCTCTGATTTCCCGTAGCAGGGAGGAGAAGTAGCAGGACCCGACTCTACCTACTTAGTCTCAACCCACTCTTCCCGACAGCAGCTCGCATACTCAGCGAGTGTCACTTCTCCTTCTACCACTACCTGACACTTAGCGACTTTGATTACTGGTCAGCTGTGAGACTGAAGCGTGTTTAGTCGTCCAGTGAGAGTTGTTCAGTGTTTTTGCAAGAGCGCCATCTTGCAGATCATCAATATCGCCCTTCCTCTCGTCGCAAAGACCAGTGACGCCCACCAAGTAAACTGCTTGACCGCACATCATTCGTCTCCCCCATTTTCTGCTGACCGCCTCACCTCAGTCTCTCTCTGGGCCGTGCCACGTGCAGACCAAGTGTGTCCAACCTCCTCACGCTGTCTCGCATTCTACTCGTGCCTCGTCCCCGATGGTCCAGCCTCAGCTGGCTTCACTCTAAGCCGAGCCGAACTGGCCTCAGGCCCGTCCTCCACTGGTCCAGCTAGCGGGTGGTTTTAGCGGATCTGATCCAATCCATGCCAGGACTGGACATCCGCCTCGCGATCGCTCATCTCTGACTCTCCTTCAGAGTCCCTCTCGTTGTGTTGCACCTCTCCGGTCGTGGTACCCGTCGACGAGTCGTCCTCATGGTAAGTAACCGTTACCCGCATGCCAGCAGTCACCCCGTCTTGCCTGCACCTTCGCTCCGCCCTGTTACGAGCCTCAGTAATAGCCGCCTGCAGCCTCTCGTCTCTCGTCATCTCCTGTTCACGGTGACCGCTGGCATTAATTTTTAACCTTACTTCCCCCGTGGGCTTACCATAGGTCAGCATGGTCTCAACCATGGCACCCTTCTCATCCTCGCGTTCCCATATCCAAGAGTACCTCATGTACCTTGGCCTATAGCCACGCAGACCATATCGGTCAGCCATAGCCACTTTCAGAATAGCCAGGGACTTAGTTCCAGACGCCTGCACATAGATAGCCCTTACTGGGCCCTGACACTACACCCTTTTGCCTCAGACTCGTGGCGCTAGCGCAGCGGGATAGTTTGCGAGCACCCACAGACTAGCCGCTAGATAGCCAACCTCTTCTCTCTTTTATAGGCTCTCTTCATACCACGGCCCCTGTGTTCTGAACGAGAGTTTCGAGTATTATTCAGATTTGTGTATTCTAACATTCTAAAATTTTTATTAATAAATTAAGGCAAAGTACACAAGAAGGGGAAAAAGGAAAGGCGAGACGCCAACGGGCAAGGCCAGACTTGACACTGTGGTCTCATAACGGGATACAAATGGGCGCCTATCCTTCTTTAAAACCTAGAATTGACCCACTACCATTGGGTGCCCGTGTCCGATGATAAGGAGGGGGCTTATGACCTCACACGAGGGGTGATAAGTCTCCTACCAAAGCGGCCGCAGGTTGCCCTGCTTTAGGGGTTCTACTAGCACAGCACTCAGCGGAGCAGGCCTGGCGCAGGTGAAATACAAGGGGTCGAGCTAGCCCAGGCTGTAGACCACAGTTTGAGCTCGAGGCCCGAACCGTTCGCCTTCCCTCGAAATGACAGGCCGAAAGGAAAACTGAAAGAAATTAATAATGATAATAATAATAATAATAATAATAATAACGAAACGAAGTAAGGAAAGAAAAGAAATCATATCGACGCCGTGGTCAGAGGTCACCAGATCGCCCCAAACTAAAGCGAGGGCCCAGATATGTGCGCGGATCTGACACTTTTCTTCCTTTTTCTTTTCCTATTCCCCTTTTTCCTTTTCTTTCTTTTTCTTTTACCCCTTTTCTGTCCGGCTGTACCAGCGAGCCTACGCACCTAATCCATAACTTGACTAGGGACCTATAGGCGCGCAGTAGAAAAGACTGCGCCGGCCTATTTACTTCTGCGTCCCTGGGCGAACCCGACGGCTACCACGACCACAGGCCGGTAGTGCTCTGCTGTACAGCTGGGCGCCGAGTCTGCGTGGACCAATTGAAAGCCCAGTGGCGCACCCTTTTGCAGAGGGCAGGCATCGAATGGGCCGGTCCATAGCACGGTATAACTCGGGCTCTAGAGGGTTGCGGAGGTTCGGAAACATGCCTACAAGCTACAGTGCCCGAACGAGGGACTGGTACTGAGTAGAAGCCTGACGCACGGAGGAGGGTCGGGACACCGCGCCCTCCGACAGTGGGTGTTACCATGCAGTGGTATGGTCCTCCATCCCAGAACCTATCATGCATTAGCCCCAGCATGCAACGACACACATGATATGGCACGGTCTTGCATCCCGGGTCATGCCACACAATGGCAAGCTCCTGCACCCCGGGTCCTGGAGCACGGGTCCTATCATGCAATGACATTGTCCTTGATCCCGGGCGTTTCCTACCATGAAATGATATTATCCATGCGCGGTAGTTGGGGACGCCGGATCATACCATGCAATGACATTGTCCTGGAGCGCGGTCCTACCATGCAATGGCATTGTCCTGGATCCCGGGCGTTTCCATGCACTGCCATTGTCTTGCATCCTCTTTCCTAAAACATAGGACGTCGGGTCATACCATGACATGGCACGACCCTTCATCTCTCACGTCGCCATGCACTGGCACAGTCTTTCATCCTGGGTCTTGCAGCGCGGGTCCCACAATGTGATTGCATGGTCCTTCATCCCAGGCACTATCGTGCGATGACACGCCCCTGCATCCGGAGCTTACAATGCAATGGCACGGTCCTTCATCCCGAGCACCTCCATGCCATGGCCTCAGCATGAAACGACATGGGATGCCGAAGCACACCAGGCAATGGCAAGGTTGGACGCGTTCGGCACGCCGGACGGTACAACGCAATGGAGCATATGATGGTACGCACCACATGGTCGTTGCACTGCAGGGTCCGGCGTCCCAAAGGCGACAGACCAGACCATGGCATTGCTCGCAAGTTCGGGACACCGGACCACACACAGGTATGGTCCGGCGTCGTGGAGGCGCCGGGCCATGTGCTGGTATGGTATGGCGCCTTCGTGACGCCAGATCATACCATGGCATGGTGTGGCGTCCTGCGGCCGCCAGACCATGCGATGGTAAGGTCCGGTGTCCCGAAGGCGCCGGCGAAGACATGGTATGGTCCGCTGTCCCTAGCCGCCGTGCACATGCCATGGTCTTGACTGTCACCTTTGGGACGTCGGGCCATACCATTGCACGGTCCCGGTTCTCGATGACCGTGGACCTTGCCATTGCATTCCCTTCTTGCCAAGCGGGCAGTGTGTTTCACAGGTGCGAGACTGTATGCTCCATACCATACGCTTGTTTAAGAAACAAAGGAGCAAAGTCAGAGGAACATAAACAAAGGTGCGGGAATGTGTGTTCCGTACCATAAGCTCGTTTAAGAAACGTCCTTTCCGAACAACACCGATTCGTACATGACATCTTCTCTTATAGCAGAACTAACACCTTCCTTTGAACAAGGGAAAACAAACGTGGACGTGGAACGACGAAAGATACATAGACGACACCTTCCCAAACAACACCCTTCAGAAATGATACATTTGCGTTGAACGAAGGGAAAGCAAATGTGGAGGTGGATCGGCGAAAGATACGCAATGCCATAAAAGCTAACGGTCATCCCGCCTTAAAAAAAAAAAAAAAAAAAAAGACTTTTTTTCAAAATAAATAAATATATGTTTTCAAAAAAATGACCTCTTTCGAAACAAAATGACATTTTTGGACAGTCAAGTACACCGGAAGGCTATGAAAGGGACACAGAACAAAACTTGATGGTCCGACAACTGTGAAAGTGACATAATGGCATGAGACACGTCAGGAGGTTGTGATGTGCGTCATGATGCTGTGGTGTACGCCGGGAGGCTGTGGTGTGAGTGGATAAGACCTTGTTGTAGGCAAGACGCGGGTTTAGGACAACAGGTTGGCACTAGGGGGAGGGTTATTTGACAAGCCTGTAGTCGCAGAAACCTCACCTTCTCAAAAACATGCACCCTTCGTATCCACCTGTTGCCGCGCGAAAACGCCTTGTGAAGCCCCGAACCGAATGTTGGGGTTCGTAACAAGGCCAACCGCGACAAGTGCGAATTTGTCCGGCAAGAGCTGGAATACTTGGGCCATTTTGTCACACCGGAGGGCATCAGTCCGCTATCGGACAAGATTCGAGCCATCCAAGAGTGGCCGGAGCCTCGGAACGTCACAGATGTCCGCTCGTTCCTTGGTCTCGCCGGCTACTATCAACGTTTCATCAAAGGCTACTCGAAGATCGCGTCCCACTTGACCAAGGTTCAATGCGAGGATCGGCCGTTTGACTTCGAAGAGGAGGCGCGGGAATCATTTTTGGCTCTCAAAGCCGCGCTATTATCTGCGGGGGTCTTGCGAATATACGACCCGCTTTTGCCTACGCGCGTCACTACGGATGCGTCAGGCTGTGGCATTGGTGCAGTCCTCGAGCAACATGATGGTGTGGACTGGCACCCGGTCGAGTATTTCAGCAAGAAAGTGACTGTCGTGCATTCCATTGGCGATGCACGCAAGGAGCTCCTTGCCTTCGTCCACGCGCTCAAGCGGTGGCGGCACTTCCTCCTTGGTCGAAGCCAATTCCGATGGGTAACGGACAACAATCCGTTGGTCTTCTATAAGACCCAAGACACCGTCAACAGCACCATCGCTCGATGGATGGCTTTCATCGACCAGTTCGACTTCTTTCCCGATCACATTCCCGGGAAGTCGAACCGTTTTGCAGATGCTCTTTCACAGCGTCCGGATCATTGTACCGCTGTTTACTCAACCTTCGAGATCGACGATGACCTGCGGAACAACTTCATCTGCGGCTACCAAGCCGACCCCGAGTTCCACGACAAGTACGCAAATTGCTCCTCTCCTAATCCGGCGCCTTCTCACTACCGGATCCAAGAAGGGTACTTGCTTGTCCACACGCGGGGGAAGGACCTTCTTTGCGTACCGAGTGATCCTCACGACTTCTTGGCAAGTTCCACGATGCTCCCGCCACCGGACACTTCGGAGTCAATCCCACGATTGGCCGACTTCGCGAGCGATTTTGGTGGCCCGGCCTTCTCGGCGATGTCACACGCTATTGCGCGTCATGCGAGGTTTGTCGACGCTGGAAATCCCGCAACCATCGTCTCTACGGCGAGTTACGACCATTACCGGTCCCGTTGAGGCGAAGGGAAGCGATTGGCATGGACATTACCAGCCCGTTCCCAAGCACAAGACCGGAGTGGATGGGATTCTCACGGTGGTAGACCGACTCACCGAGTTCGCCATGTTTTTGCCTTGTCGCTATCATGCCAAGGCACCGGAGTTGGCCGAGGTTCTCTACGCCGGTTGGATTCGAACCAAGGGTTACCCCAAGGAAATCGTCTGCGACCGCGACACTCGGTTCAAGTCCGATTTTTTGTTGGCGCTCATCAAACGATGGGGCTCATCTCTCAAGCCAAGTTCGGCTCGCCACCCCAAACCGATGGCCAGACGGAGAGGGCACATCAGACCGCGTAGGTTCTCCTTCGCACTCTCATCCGCCCCGACCAGAAGGACTGGGTTGAGCGGCTGTCGGATGTCGAGTTGGCCTACAACTCCTCTATCCTCCGACTATCGAGATATCGCCTTTCGAGTTCGAGCACGGCTCGCCGGGCACTTCGTCGTTGGACATTATCACTCCACGAACGACCGAGAGCGACGACCATCTTCTTTTCTTGCGTCAGATGCAAGAGCTACTTGTCAAGGCACACGATCAAATGGCCAAGACGCAGCAACGCATGAGCCAGAAGGCCAATCGCCAACGTCTTCCTTGCCCATTCCGCGCCGGCGATATCGTTTGGGTCTCCGCCGAGGAATTCAGCCTTGAACAAGATCTCTCTCGCAAGCTCCTCCCGAAATGGATGGGGCCTTGGCCGATCGTAGCACCCGCTGGGGACGCACCCGAGGGACCTTCCTTCACGATTCAGGTGCCCGCCCACTTGCCCGTCTACCCAGTCTTTCATTGCTCCAAGTTGGCTCTTTACACACCAGCAGAACATGACGATTTTCCCGCGAGACGTTCGCAAGACCCACCCTCTATGGACGGTTTTCAGGAGGTCGGGGACATCATCTCCCAGCGACGCTACGGCAACAGGCCAACTGATTATTTGGTGCATTTTGCATACTGCATACACCGAGCTTACCGTTGGTTGACCCGTGCGGAACTTCAAGCAACAGCTCCAGACATTCTCGCACGATATGGACGCAAGCCGGTATCTCTTCGGCTCCACGCCGCGCCCGCGTCCAGGTTCCACCTTCAGATTGTCGACTTCGCCCTCGCCCCGGCTTGACTTCATAAGGAGAGGGGGGTGTTACATGCTGCGCCTGCACACGAGGGCCATTTTCCAGGCCCTGCGTCCCTCAGGCCGGAAGCCTGAAATTCAGGCTGAAAGCCTGAAAACCAGGGCCTACAGGCCCCGTCTCTGTTCAGCCCGAAAGCCTGAAAAACAGGGGCCAACAGACCCTGTGTCGTCTCAAACTAAAAATGGCAGGAACCTTTTTAGCCTGAAACGAAGGGCCATTTTCGGCAGAACGACCGGCCCTAAAACTCAGGCACCGAACCAGGGTTTCGGGAACACGCTATTCTTAGCGTGTTCCCACGACAGCCTCAGCAGATGCTGCAGCACCAGCCCCTGGCACACTTTTCTTCTCTCATCTACCTCATTTTTCTTGCTGGTACTCATCTATCTCATCCTCTCACTAGTGTATGTGTAGTACGGGGGAACACCAACCAACCCGGATCTCTCCCCAGCCCACGGGGTAGGTTGGCACCACAGCAGCGGTGCGAGAGCAAGGCTGTACCAGTCCCTCATCACGGTGACAAGGGGTGGGCAGGCATTGCCGATGGGGGAAATCGGTGGTGCTAGCGCCGGCATTGGCAAGAGCAGCCTCCTCGGCCTGGCTCGCCCTGCAGGCAGTCAGGAGGCAGGCCGAGGTAGTACATAGGGACTTCCCATGCACTTCACGGGCAGGCAGGAGGGAGTCAGTAGTCTTCAGGATTCGGCAGCAGCACTCTGGAGGGAGCGCTGCAGGAGTAGTAGTAGCGTTAGCATTAGTCTTTAGCGCTGGGCGCAGTAGGTAGCTGTAGTCTTCAGCGCTGGGCGCCATAGCTAGGATAGCACTAGAGAGAGAGAGATTGGGCGGAGGCCAGGAGTACCTACCTGCAGCGCCGTTGCTCCAGCTTCGTCTTCGAGGTACCTGCAGCACAGCGCCAACTTCACAGGTTAGTATCTGGCTCGTGACAGAGAGAGAGTTCTTCTTCTTCCTCTTCTCAGTCCATCTCCCTCTCACCCTCTAATTATCTGACTTCACTGCATCAGCAGACTGCGAGAGAAAGAGAGAGAGAAAGCTTGGTGACATTGGATCCAGACTCGACTTTTGGGCTTCAGACATTACGACGAGGGATTATTTGGGACGTGACAAAGACTTGGTGTTGACGACATTCCCATCTCTCCCCCTCTCTTCGTCTGATCCCCTCCTCTTCGTCTGTGTATGTCTGGACCTGGCGCTTTCTTCCTGTGTACAGTGCCAGGCTCCTTCACACCTTGTGATGGATACGATGTATGTTTGGTCTGCGTTCAAACATTGATTGGGCTAGTCATTAACATTCTAGCATTCTGCTTCGCTATCTCATACTACGTGAATGAGGTCAGACCCGGTCAGATCAGGATCTGTATCTAAGTCTTCCCTGCGCTATTCAGCACCATTTTGTATGTATTATAATGCACATTGCTTGTTGAGATTCTACTTGCACTGCATTGTCCATTCAGTCCTTTTCATCACATTGTGGATCCTCGGTTTCTATGTACATCGCCCAACTGGGCATGGGCGCTGAGTCGCCATAGCCATCTGAAGCGAGTTGTATCTGAACTGTGTTCCTGTTTGCCATATCTCTGAGTTTTGAGTGGGCGCTCGTCGCCAGTTTGCTGCGCAACCTGTTTACATGTATGCAAAGTGTGGATGAGAGTGAGTCTGATTGCAGTTGGGAGACAGAGTATGAAACTACAGAAGCGGAATGTGTGAGCATGATACAGATAGGCAAACTTGAGATAACAGGAATATGGAAGATTGAGATAACAGATCTGATGATTGCATCAAAATCTACGACAGAGATGGACAAACCTTCTTCAGGGAGAGAAGGAACTGCAATGCTGTATTATGTTAGTTGCTCTTTTAAGAAACAGCAACTTCTCTTGACAATTTGATAATACCAATCAAGAGATGAGCAAAACGGATACGTCTGTTGGCAATCACATTCACAGCCTGAGAAAGAAAAAAAGAAGAAAGCTTCCCTTTCTCTCCCTTCCTCCAAGCAAATTTTGCCAGCCAGAAAAGTGCGCTTGAACACTCTGGCAAAGACATGCCATCATGCATGGCTGGCATCAAACTATACAAAAAGGCAGAGTTTGCAGTTTGCACACATTGGTTCCAAGGATCAAACAGTCAACTTGGCATCAGCCAAGGAAAGCGCGTACCAAGAAATTGAACACCAACCATACACGGGAAAGGTAAAGGCAAACAAACACTTTCGCAAATCCCAGGAGACCCATGAACCTCTTAACACCATGGGAACTTGAAAGCTAGCCCGAAGGCCATGGCTATGGGTGCTTCCCTGCTGCATGGCTGACTACCCTCTATCGTCCTTGGTGACAGGGTCCGCTCCAGATGTCAGCCGCCGATTGAGGTAACGCATAACAGCATCCTCGACCCTGTTCACACAAACGGAATGGAGCAGAATATAACACGCATGGCCATACGGGGGGTGCAGCAAGAGGACACAAAGGAAATCAGTAAATTACTATTTCCATCAGATTCAAGAAAATCAAGTTACTCAAGGGAGACCCCTTTTTTCCTTTCCTTTTGTTAGGATCTGCCAAACACGAACTGAGACACACAGCTGATTTCTGAGTTTTGCCAATGGAGTTTCCCGCTTGCTGCTGAGTTTTCTAAGCCTGCGTGCCTTTCTGAGTGCTTGTCAGTTTGAGTGTGTGTGACCCGCAAAGGGTACTCGTCCGTGCGGGGACCCAAAGGGCCGGTACTTACCCGTGGCCGTGACATTGAGGGTTGCAGCGGGGAAAACACTCAAAGTGGCGGGGAAAGAGGCCCACGACACTTGGAGCCGCGGAAAAACACTCAAGCACCAGGTAGGCCGGTACCACACCAGGAAGAGGTAGATGTGCCGGGTATTCGAGGCCAACCAAAAGAAGACAAAGTTGGCATTGAAACGGTTTCACTCAGTTGACTCAACATTCGCAGATACAGAGATTCGATCCCTAGACATGTGCCCGACTGACCCGGAGGACACGAACCCTCCCAAGGACCGGTACAGACCGGTAGGCTGCTCGGTGTGGCACAGTAGGCCCAAAATCCGAGCTGTGGGCTGCACAACAAGCTGTCTAAGTCTTGAGAGGACTTGCTGATCGCGTCGTCCTGTTTCTGACATTAAATAATCCCTAAGGAGTTACGGGGGATCTCCTTAAATGCCTCCTGATCAGCAGTAAGTCCTATAGTGACAGCCTTAGTTTAGGTTCAGGCTAGAGACCATAGTTGACAGGATGTGGTCCTTAGATTGAGTCAGTCTTAAATTCAGTCAGTCAGGGGTGTGAGTCTAAGTGGTGAGGAGTGGAACTGATTCTTGGTTGTACAGTTTTCACCATGGTTGACACGCGTAGTTTTCACCTCTGGTGAGGAGTGGAACTGATTCTTGCTTGTACAGTTTTCACCTTGGTTGTACAGTTTTCACCATGGTTGTACAGTTTTCACCAGGCAAGAGCACCACCCCTTACACCAAGGCTCAGGAAGAGCAGGCTGCCGCCGTCCTGAGAGAAAAGAAATGCAGGCCAAGAAGGAGTTGATTAAGCAGGCCAAGAAGGAGTTGATTAAGCAGGCCAAGAAGGAGTTGATTAAGCAGGCCAAGAAGTTGGCCTTGCAGGAGGAGCAGGGAGCAAAGAGAAAGAAGTTGGAAGAAGAAATGGAGAGACTGAGGAAGGAGGAGGAAGAGAAGATGAAGGAAGTGGAAGAGGAGGAGATAGAGGAAGAAGAAGAAAAAGAAGAGCCCTTGCTCAGAAGAAGTGCAAAGCAGAGAGGAGAATCCAGTGGCTCAAAGAACGAGGATTCATGGATGGAGAAGAAGATCTCTGAGTGGGTAGCTAATTTATCTTTGGGAGAAGAGGAAGAGGCCATGTTGTATGTTCCCCCAGAGGACAAGAAAGCCGTAATCAAGGAGTGGGAAGCAGAAAAAGACCCTCTGAGACGTCGGACTATAGAGGAGGAGAAGAAGTTACAGTGGAAATTGCGTCTCACTAAGGCGAAGAAGAGGAGGATGGATGAGGCGAGCTGAATGGCGAGGGAATTGGAGGTAATAAAGGCGCAGAGGGAGGAGATGCAGGCGCAGAGGAAGGAGATGCAGGCGCAACCAGATATACAGGGTAAATAAGATGTTATTTCAAGAAACATAGAACTCCTCGCCAGAGCTTGGGACGCGCAACACCAGTTTTCTAGAGCCCAAGATATTGCTTTCCACTCAATTTGCCTAGGATTTCGGGATTTCGCACGCGAGATGATGTTGCACGTAGGTGCAGAAATGAAGGCGAGGATAGAAGGCACTGAGAAGTTTTGCAGTTGCGCCATTGAGGGCGCAAAGCTGGCCACTCCAAAGGAGGAGGAACTACGTCCCCCGTAGGCCAGTTTCCACTTTCTGGCACAAGGACTTAGACAAAGGTAAAAAGTGGAAAGGCCGTACCATCTCGGGGCAGGTAAAGGGAAAGGATCATCGGATCCTTCCGTTCGATGAAGGTGGTACAAATGAGGTCCCGTATAGCCAAATCGAGTGGGTCCTGGAGGAGGACAGTAGTGGGGGTCAGGGGAGGGTCTACGTTGTTGTCGCGTTTGCAGGGAGGCCGCAAGGAAGAGGAGGAGGTCAGGGCCAAGGGGGTCGGGCCTCAGGTGGCCGAGGACAGGGCACTCAGGGGGTTGGCAGCAGGGGAAACCGCCCAGAGGGAGGTAGGGGTCAAGGTCCCCCGCCAAATCGCTCACGATCTTATCGGTCACCTCCAAGAAGAGGTGGATGGCACCCAGGCTTGCCGCAAGGCAGACCCTGGGAAGATTTGGGCTTAGAGCAGTCTGTATGGCAAAGGCGAATTGATCAGGATCAATGCATCTATTGCGGTGATCCTGGTCATACCATCAAGTTTTGCCCGAAGTATAGAGAAGCCCGATATGCAGCAAAACGCAACCGCCGGTAGGGGTCGCAACTGCCCTTACCCCTAGGCCATGTCGAGAAGAGTGCGCGCACCACAGAGGAACTCCCAAACCAGATAAGCCTACGGCAGAGGTTGCTGGCCAGTACCTAGACATTTGTCCAGAGACTGCTTGTGTAAGAGTCTCTCTAGGTACTTCCCTCACAGGCGAAGGAGAGAATGCCTGCCTGGGCCAAGATGAAGAAAGATGCCAAAGGACAACTAGTGTTAGTAGATGTAGAGATTTTCAGAGGTAGAGTAGGGGCCCTTATGGACAGTGGGGCCACCCGCAGCTATATTAGTAGGAAAGCGTTGCAGAAGTTAAAGCTGAACCTGAAAGTCCAAAAATTAGAAGACCCTATAGTCAGTATCCTCGCAGACAATCACACTATGCGAGTCGAGGATTACGTTGAGGGAGTCCAGGCGTACCTTCGCCTAGAGAAAGACAGGAAGGTGGAGAAAGTTCTTCATTCCCCGACTCTCCTCGTAGAAGACAGTCTTCCTTTCGATATGGAGGCCGTCCGACCTAGGAACTCACCGCCTAAGAGGCAAGTAGGCCGCTATATCTCCAGGAGGAGCAAAGTGCTCCTCATTCTTCAGTGTGCAAGTTTGTCGACACAATGCTTGGAGCGTTGGCTGGAGGAGCGTTGGGCACTTCAGAGCTGCTAGGATGAAGGAGAACGGGAGCTCCCACCTCGGCTATGGCGGAATTCTACCGGTAGGAGGGCGTAGAAGAGGGCTAGGAGGGAGAGTGGCGAGGTACCTACCTGGTTATGGTGGGCAACATCTTCATCACCTTGTTAGGCGCTGCATCTGGAAGGCCCTAGTTGGGGTTGCGCCGCACCAAGAAGGCTTCAGGGCAGAGTCATGCATGGCGGCCTGAGAAGCAGCGAACATAGCTGCTTTGTGTAGTCCTCTACACAGCAGGGCCAGGCCCTTAGTAGTCCGCCATAGCCTTGGCCTACATGAAGAGGAGGAAGAAGGGTGGCCATGGCTATGGTGGACCTCATGTTGTGCCTACAGTAGAAGAGGGATTCAGACATTGATTCTGGTTCAGCCGTTCAACATTATTATTGCTATTTATTGTTTGAATGAGAGGGGAGGAGAAAAGGAGGAAAAGAGAGGTTGGCGAGAAGGAGGGTACTATCATTGGTCTATGGTGGTGTACTTCGTCTTCTTCTTTCTTTCATCTTCTTCTTCTTCTTTGCAATTGGGCGGCATTATACTTCCCCATGAATGTGTACTTCGAAATTGGCCAGGATCGTTACATCACGATCAATAAGACAGAGAAATGTTGGACGAACAAAGAGGAATCGAGAGCAGTGTGCAGAGGGGAAAATGGACAGAAGGCCAGAGCTGCTGCCAAATACCCCACGTTCGGTTGCAGGGAAGCACGTTCGCAGCAGTCACGTGGAGAAGAAGGAAAGCAACAATGATGTGAGCGAACGCATACCATGGCTGGTTGTAAAAGTGCGAGCGACGCTCTCGTTCGGCATTTCTTCCTGCATCTCCAGCGGCCACACGAAGGTCTCTGCTTTGGCATGCAACAAGTGCATTGACAAAATCGACAGGAGATTTGCTGAATCCCAGGAAAAATGCCCTCCGCCGCCGATGATCATTGATTTTCCGGATAGCATTCCCTATTGCCTCATCACATTCCTCTATCTCTTTTGCCTTCTCCATTGATGCCATGAAGTCCGCCATCTCCGCCATAAGACCACTTGGAGCATCGACTGAGATGTCATAACAAGCATCACCTCCTGCAGGGCTCCTATCTCCCAGCCTGATCGTATGTTCTAGAAGGATTGGTGGAGCTGGAGACAGATGGAGTTGGAGTCTTGCCACACTCGAAAAGCGAACTCGTTCCTCACCATTGAAAAGTGCTTTGAGGCGGGCATCGCAAATGATGAAGGTGGGGTCTGAGGGATCTTGCAAAGACTGCGACTTAATATACTGCCATAGTGCCGAGAGGATCCGTGCACGGGTCTCGATATGGACTCCCAGAATCTCACCAAGCTCCGGAGAGACTTTGTGCCGCTCTGGGACGTAATTCAGCTCAAACTTGAGCTTTGCAACAAATTCTTTGTCCCCTCGCCTCTTGATCTCAAACCCTTCCACAGGGCTTACTGCCCGATCGCTGTCCCAGACCACAGTATGATTATCAGGGTACAGCTCATGGTCCAGCTCCACTGTGATCCGGCGGAAAAAGGTTGAGAACTTGGCAGTGTTGTTGCTGTTGTTGCCACCTGCCATAGGATTTGCAGCCCCCACACCTCCTGCAGCAGGGCCAGCTCCATTGGCCCCATCCTCTGCCTGAGACTCATCTTCAAGAAGCCTGCCGACAATACGTAGTGTCCACGATGGAGGCCCATCCGGCTCTCCCTGCCCACCCTTCGTATCCTCACCCATCCTCTTCTCACCACCAGTTGCAGCCTTCATAAGATTCTTGTTGCCATCCTCCTTTCCCTCGCCACCTCCTCGCCCATGCAGCTGGCTCGTGTGTGTGTTGAAAATGTACATCCGCAATGTGCGGGGCGTTCGTGCTGGATTTTTCAGCCCCTCCTGTATGTCCAGCTTCTTCCGTGCCAACGTCGAGTCCACTCGCTTTTCAAACTCCAGAAGCTGGTTGTAAATCATCGATTCCGGTATGAACGCAGCAACTTGTGTCGGGATTTCCTTCTCGGGCACCTTGCGCTTCTTCCGTCGTGGAGCCGGAGCGACCTCAGCACTTTTGACCACATTTGTCGATGCTGGTTGTGCAGATGTACCACTTGGTCGACCACGTCGCCTCCCACTCCCTCCTGTTGTTGGCGGTGTTGAGACAGGTCCCATTGTCTGCCCACCAACAGCAGGCCCACCTGTGCCTTCTGTAGCAGCCGGTCCTCCTGCCATCGTGGCTCAAAGATAGGACCAAAGTATGATTGTCGCAGTCCCAAAGAGATCAGCCACTCACCTCCTTTTCCTCCTCCTCCTCTCTTGCAAGATCCAGCTAACACACTGCACACACAACTATACCAAAGGCTAGAAGAACACCTGCAAGGCACCTCCAAGACACAATCTAGGATAGATGTCAGCAACAGCAGCAGCTTTTGCTGACAGTAAGTACTTGACCTGTAGGTGTGAGGTAAACAGTCCGCAGATGGTGACGATGACTAGAGCAGCAGCTCTTGCTGGTAAGATATAAACTACATGACTGCAGAGTCTGTGCAGACCCAAATCGGAGAAGCAACAACCTCCCCTAACCTATTCTCCTCGAGCTAAATTTGCACAGAAGAAGGAACTGCCAAACACGTCGCTGTGCTTCCAGTTATACTTGAACACAACTCCCCGGTCAGTCTTCTGTACTCCTTTTACGCTAGGCTCCTCTGACAGAAGAATGAAAACTCTCCTTCACCTGTCCTCCTCAAAGGGCCTATCCCGGCTTGCAGATGTCAGCGATGCCCAACAGCAGAAACAGAAAGCTGATGACTCTTTCCCTGCCAGATGTGAACAGAACAGGAATTTCACCATCACTAACTGTTAACCAAAGTGTCTCTGTTCATTGATTTGAGAAGAAGATCAGTCAAACAAAACCGCACAGCTGATAGGTGACTATCTCATACAGTTCGGAGAGAAGACTGTACATCATGGAGGAAAAGAATCCATATCGATCTATCACAGTCTCTTCCTTTTCTTGTCAATTGTGCAGTAATGCAGGAAACCAGAGCTCCTTTCACAATTGGCTACAATAACTGCCTGGCACTGCAGAAGCCCAAAACTTGCAGGCAGGCCATAGATCCCCAGAATGAAGCACCTCTAATTTCTCCTGCCCTCCACCTTCTTTCCTTGTCACTAGGCGACCTCACGCAGCTGGACTCGCAAGCAAAGGAAAAAAACAACCAGAACAGAATGTTTGAAAACAAAAGAAAATGCATGCCCAATAAGAAAAGGAGAAAGAACACGATGCATCTCTATCTCTCTCTCTCTCTCTCTCTCTCTCTCTCTCTCTCTCTCTCTCTCTCTCTCTCTCTCTCTCTCTCTCTCCCCCCCCCTCCCCCCGCCCCCCCAAAGCACAAGTGGTTAACGGGGAAACCCACTTTTCAGCTCCTGGGTTAACAGGTCCGGAACTGAAATTAGGGCTTGGGCGTCAGGTTCTATGTTTTTTTGACTTTTTGTCCACTCTACGAATGGGTGGCAAGTTTGGTTAAAATGCCCCTTGGGTCTTGCTATAAAGGGCATGACAAATTGTCTGAAAATTTAGGCCTCCGTTAACCATCTCTCTCTCCATGCACAGCAAGAGCAAGAGGACTGGGAAGCAATGGCCGTAAAGGCAGAGGCAGGAATCAGGTTCGGGATTCAGTGGGAACAGGCGTGGGTTCCTTGAAAAGCCATGTGATAAAAAAGTGAAACAACTTAATGGTCCATCCCCTCAAAAGTGCACCATGTCTCAAAAATGCACTGTGCACCAATTTTACACCCACCCTGTGCATGCTTGGCAGGTGCTCTTTGCAGGTAAGCTGCACTTCCATTCTTTCCCAACAACAGCACATCGCCCTCGATCGTACAAAAGGCTATGATCAACGGTTCCCATTGCAAGTTGATCGGCACAGAGTCTGATTGGCGTCCAGTGCGGTCCGTCCGTCCCTGCCAAAACAATTGTTTAAATCTGATCAGTTTTTCATGGCGGGCCTGAATCAGTCTGAGTCCTTGTGGCACTGGGACATGGACGCACGGCATCCTGAGTTTCTTACACCAGTTCCTAGTAGGTTCTTTTACAATGTGTGGGTCCTTGTGAGATGAAAGGGAGTCCTGAGATAGGTGCTAAACGGACGCTAAATAGTACATAGTAAATTCCTGCATGACCAATCATTGTGAAGATACGGAACTTCTTAAACCACCAGTACCTTCCCGAGCCATTTTGTTCCAACAAAGCCAACAGGATTAAAATGGCTGCAGCCGCAGCAAAGAAAAAGGAAAAAATGTCGTTTCATTTTGCACTGGTGTGCAGGGGAAATCTGCATCTCGAAAAAGAGGATCAGAGGTACTCGACCTACTGGTGAAAGGACTCACTCGCCTCAGAAGTCAAGTCCTGGTACTGCATCTCATTTGTTTTTGTATCATAGGGCCAAACGTAGATCATTACTGTACAGGCCAATTCTGAGAACCTAAATCTGAAGGGAACTAAAACTGAAGAATAGACAATTGCAAAAACCAAAATGATGCAAAAACCAAATCTGCTCAGTCCCAGGAAGGGCCTAGGGACCTAAATCTGAAGAAAAATGCAAAAACCAAAATGACGTATTCGCCTCTCTCCAACACTCCTCCCTCTC